TTTAAAATTCACAGGAGTTGAAATTAAAACAAAAAAAGGAATTATGAAAAAACGGGAATTTTACGTAAAATCGGTTTTCGACAAAATCGTTTTTAGTTTTTCGTGTAATTAAAATAAATTGCGGTATACATAATAAATTTACACTGAATATCAACAATATAATTTTCTATATATTTTAAAATTTGAAAAAAATAATTTTGATTCCTGGTGCGCTATTTATCGGCATATGGAATTTACGATTTTTATTAGCTAAAAAAAATTAATCTTAATAAACACAATGTCTCTCGGTTAAAAACTTAAAAACGTTAAAAAATCCTTAAAGAATTGTTGTAAATRGAAATTAAAAGATAAAGTTGAGCGTAAATTCACTATAAATTTTTATGATTGTCTGAAGTTAGAATTTTGACAAAGTATCTCGAAAAATCGTGAATTATTAATTAGTTTAAGCTAAAAATTCATAAMACCGTTTTTCTTTTTATAGCTAACATTTGAAAATTAAATAGAAGATTCCTCTTAATTTTTCTATCATGATAAAAAAAATACAATTTACTGAATGTAATACTATTTGAGAAATTGTATACTTATTTTTTTWAAATTATTTAATTGCATTATTTATCATTGATCAATCATATAGGTACAATGTTCTCAGCATTGAATTCAAATATTCGTTACGACATCTACTATAAATTAGAGCAGTACCAATCTGAACACTTTTTTTAAAAAGATTTGAACACCATTACACCGAATATTAGAGTAAGAATTGAATAAAACGTGAGTTATACAAGATTTGACATTTTTACGGACAAAGAAGTGCACGAGGTCGGCTGACGGGCTGATAAATAATATATAAAAGAAAGAAAGATATCTTTATTTTTATCACTGTTTCCTGTCAAGCCATTTATCTTTAATCATGTCCGCAGCCTTCTCGGCGATCATTATAACCGGAGCATTGGTGTTTCCGCTAACCAGCGTAGGCATAATTGACGCGTCTACCACCCGGAGACYGTGGATGCCATACACCTGAAGCTGAGGGTCCACCACCGCAGTCTTGTCCCACTCGGGTCCCATCTTAGCGGTGCCCACCGGATGGTATATGGTTACCGTGTAATGCCGGATCATGCATTCCCAGTAGGCATCCGTATACCGTGGGACGGCGGTGCAACCGGGGAATGGTATGTCGTGCAGCCGGCTATCGTAGCCATGGAACGGCGAGGTCTGGGACATTGCCACCACAAACTTGACGCCCTCCACCAGCGTGTCCACGTCCTCTTGGGCTGTCAGGTAATTGGGAAAGATACGGGGATACACGAACGGGTCAGTGCTCCGCAAAAGTATTTCACCCCGGCTTTTTGGCCTCAACAACATCTGAAAATGCGTGAAACGTTTGGTTAGGAATAAAATGTTATCACAGTGTTCCACAATATCAGAGAAACCAATAAAATAATCTAGGTTTTAAGGGTAGCCTACTGAATATTTTTATTTTTATACGACAAATAATAAAATATTCGAAATTGATTTTCTCAACAAACTTAAATTTCATGAAGAGCACCGCAGATACTATTAAAATTATTATTATAATACTAATATTATTATTCCGAAACATAAGTCAATAATGTACGAAGAATTTAAGAATAATCCTCTGTATTCCATTCAAATGTAGGAAACACYGTGCATAAAATAATTGTTAAACAATTCATTTTAGCATAGTATTAACTGTTATATATATATATAGTAGGTATATAAAAAAAAATTATGAGAAAAATGTTATGATTCAAAATGTCATATTTATCATTTAATTTTGATTTGCCTAATTAGTTTTTGGGTTTTGGTCAACCTTCTCACACTCCATGACAATACAATCTTATTGGTATGTTTGCTTTAGGATATTTTGTGCAATAAGGCATTTCACTTACAGGCATAGCAGACCATACGTCTTTGTTGTTTATTGRTTGATAAACAGATTTGTAAAACTCTTCTTTCAGCCCGTGAGCTTTCCATAGTAGTGTACCCCCGTCAGAATTTGTGGAACCAGAAATAAAGTGTAACTCAATATCTGGTGCGTCAACTGAAAGATTAGCATATTTGGTGTTGATAAATGCCAATCCTTCAACGCCGCCCATGATCGTCAACGGCCCATCACCCATCATGGCATAGTTTAGAGCCGTTTCGACGTTTTCCACTCTCTCTAATATTAGCGACACCTGTACAACCAACGAAAAAGCAATAGTTATACTTTAATTCACTGAATAAGTTCCATAGCCAGTAATTTATATGGTGAGGGGAGGAAGAGGTGGCATTTAATTTTTGAATATTAGTTAAAATGTAATCAATAACATAGCATCATCAACAGTTAGAATAACATCGAATAAGCCATGCCCGAGATAATAATAATATTTAAATTCAATTTTAAAATCTAATTGTTTTTCTTTTTTTAGATGCAAATAAAATAATCAACATATTTTTAATATCTCTAAAAATATGGTTAAGTTCAGTTAGTCATTTATAATGATTTTCAAGGGACTAGTAAAAATTATGCATTATAACTGATTATTATGAACATTATAACCAAAATAATTTAATTTAATTTAAAAATTTAATTATACATGTGGTCTTAATAAATAATAATGTATTACAATCAAGGTGTCTTATTGTTACCATTTAATTGTGACTTCAATACATAGAGAAAATAGATAAAACAAAATCTGTTATAAAGAGATGGGGGACATTGTTGGATGCCACTTTGTACTATTAAGAAAATGCTAGTAAATTTAAAAAATTTGTGGCCTAATCTGTCAAAAAAGTTCAAACAATTTTAATTGTACCATTTTATTACACTTGATTTAACTAATTATTTGGTCACATCTATTAAACTTCACCAGATTTCATTACATAACTCGAAAAACCAAATTTAACCTTGAATTATCAAATAGATATACCTAAACAAAAAAAGAAGATGAACTTGAGCAAATTAACAATGAAAAGAGAAAAAAAAAATGTAAATCAATATTTTATAAAATGGTATGGATGTGATAATTTAAAACAATACACTGCTTCTTTAAATAGAAAAAAAAAATAACAAGGAAGATAGTGTAGGTAAAATGCTTGAATTTTAATTTAATATTTAAAACTTTTATTACCTAGATGATTTAGTAAATTTAACTATTGAATAGAATGTGTCCCCTTGGTTAACAATGCGCTTTAATAATGTGCTTGTAATCTATATTCCATATGATTAATCATCATTAATTATCATTTAATTAAATAAACTAACATTATTGAATTATTATTAATTAATGTGCATAATAATTACTTCTTTGTTTATCAGAAATGTAAGGCCACCAAGTCCAACGTGGTCTTGAAGGTTTTTTCCGACATCTAAATCGGCTAGAACGGGTATATCCATTTCCATCAGATGATTCTTAGGACCTATGCCCGATAGCATAAGCAGCTGTGGAGAACTAATGGAACCCGCCGACAACAGCACCTCTTTGTTAGCCCGAATGAAACGCTGTGTATTGTCCTTGATCATTTCTACGCCAAATGCAACTTTAGTCTCGGGATCGATTGCCACACGTGTGACATGAGAGTTTATGGACACATGTAGGTTATTCCGTTGTCTGGCAGGTCTCAAGAAAGCTTTCGCTGTACTGCATCTAGTTCCCCCTCTGATAGTCCCTTGAGGTAACATAAAACCGGTTTGACGTTCACCGTTTACATCGCGGATATCGTAACCCATTTCTTGCCCAGCTGTGATAAAAGCGTCGGCCAATGGTGTTTTGTATGGTGCCTCGGATACTGTCAGATAACCACCCATTGAATGGTACGAGGTGTTTCCTAGATACGGGTTTCTGTTGTCTTCTGATTTTTTAAAGTAGTAGAGCACGTCATCGTACCCCCAACCCGGATTACCTTGTTGTAACCAGTTGTCATAGTCCATTTTGTTTCCACGCACATACATCATATAGTTTAACACGCTGGACCCACCTAAGACTTTGCCACGAGGCCAATTGCAACGTTGATCTTCCATAGCTGAAATAATTTATTTAATCAGTATTAAATTTTTATTTATTATTGTCAATTATTAAGTGTGATGATGTGTAGTACTATTGTTGTTGTTTTAATTTATGGGTACACTATCTATGTACCTAATACAAATTAAAAGCTGTCCGTATGGACAGATATATGGTACACATGATACATATGGTATCATTTGAAAATTATTGGACTGATTTGGATAATTTTTTTTAATGTTTCGTTAAATTCCAAAATTTAGAGGATTTTGTGATTTATGATAAAAATCGAGAAAATTTATGCTAATGGTTGTGTAACAAAGGTATAAATGTTTATATGTTACATGATACCTGTGTATATAATATTAACTGCTGACCGATACAATAATATTTACACACACACACACACACACACACACGCACATAATTAATGTTAAAGTAATTTTGTTCACCGTGTACTTTAGATCACAATACATTGTTAATACTGAACTACAGAAATAGAATCCTAGTTATTTAAATATATTGAAGATTCTTATATCTACTATCCAAAAGCTAGGTACGGTAATTGTATCTATAGAGAGCACTATTTCTCTCACTGAATATCTTTCATTTAACTGGTAGTTCCCCCTACCACGTTACAGTTGCCATTGGTTACATCTTACAGAATATAATAGAATGTTTATGGATTCGTGAATTCGATTAAAGAAATTATTTCTAAAAACAAATAGGTTTGAGAGTTGAATGCATGTTTGTAACTTATATGAACTTAATGAAACTTTTAAATCACTATTATTCAAAAGTGGGTACCTGACGTCCTAATAATATGTAGATAACATCATAGCATTAATACCATCATTCAACTTAGTAAATTTATTGTAAATGTATATATGCTAGGTACGATCAGAATAAATCATTTCAATAAATGTCCAATATAGGATCCGGACATAATAGCCACTATGAAAAGCAAAAGGATAAGCTCTGCAGGGCATGTATGGCGAGGCCGAGAGCAGACATTTGGTCAAGTCGCCTACTGGAAGCCAAAGAGCAAAATACCACTCGGCCGCCCAAGACAAAGATGGATAGATAGGGTCCATAAAGACTTGGATATGCTGGGAATCTTGAACAGCGAAGAGCTAACCACGGATAGAGATATATGGAGGGAAGTGGTGGTTGCGGCGAAGGACCTGAAYGGTCTATATTAAGCCAGAAAAAAAAAGAAAAAATRTCCAATTATATTAATATGTTGCTCACCCAAACACGCTGTATCCTGGGGTTCGGCTTTATATTGCCAATCGAGCTCGGTGAGTTGCAAATAGGCAGCCAACAAAGGTACGTCGGATTGTTCGGTTTCATTTCCACCGGATTCTATTAATAATACACTCCAATTTTCGACTTCAGTCAACCTATTCGCCAGCACCGCACCTAAGTAATTAATTTTTTTTTAAATATTACATATTATAAATAGCAATTCAAAAGTTATTAATTAATTATTTAAAAAATATTAAGAAAAAAATTAATTTCACGTACATTATAATATCATTAAATATTAATATTATTAATATGAAATATTTTCACCTGCCGATCCAGCACCGACTATAATGAAATCATATTGRTCGAGTATCATATCGCTGGGCTGGTCTATAATCCTTGACTCAGAATCATTTCCCTCGTAGTGGAAATAAGCAACAGTTGCAAGCAAAACGGTCAAGAACCGAGCCACTTGTGACGCAGCATCTGCAATCGCTCCGATGGGTATTATATCTTCTAACATTATGAATGCGAAAGTATCACAACAGCTAATCTAATAACATAAATAGGAGACACGATGGTTTACTGATGATTTTTTTTTTACCATCACTTTTGCAGGTGGTGAAACTATACGATACCAATTTCAGTATTTATGTTTTATAATTTATATCACACGTAGGTACGGATGTGAAAAGAAAAAGAGAACGGTGTCCACCTGACACTACAGCAGGCATGTATACGGACGTGTGCTATAATAATAAAATGTCGCTCAAACCAAATTTCAAATGTTAAAACTTTCAAAGTCGGAAAGACAAGACWTAAAACCAGAACGGTAAAAATGTGCCTTTTTATAAAAATCAATTTTCTGTTAATTGTAAGTGATTAGATTAAAAATATCACGTAGATCATTCATTATAGGCATTATACCTACTACGATTTATTTCGATATTATTATAGAACACACAATGAAATGAATTAGGTAGGTAYACGATATAATCTACATGGTTTTAAAATAGATTAGGCTAGGTGTATGCGACCAACGATAAGAGCTATTCGAAAGATCACTCGACTAATTGTCGAGACCAAAAAATCGGGAGACACTCAACGACTTGGATGTCCTCTCACACAATAGTCAGTTGCTGACGGAATTACGCAACTGTAATCCCAACACGGAAACCGGCCAATCTGATTGGAGGACGTGAGATAAAATAAATTTATAAGCAACTTATAAGACTGAGTTTGTTGTAGAAAATTGCTTTGTTTGCCTTCTCAATGAACTTACGATTTTACAATTATAGTATTTTCTAGGTGAATCAAGGTAACAATTAATGATGAATATGCGCTCAATGCGACTTACAATCAAAAATATTACAAAAATTAAAACGTTACGGCGATGCTGCAATAGCGGGAGACAAGAAAAGCTTACGTTCAACAATAATAATATAAGTAATAATAATAAGGGCGTTAGCCGCAGAACAATAACAATAAAAAAGATAATCACATAGAATTAAAGTATAAATTGAGGCATAAWTACTGAATATAATTGATTATATGAGTACAACATACAAAATACAAAAAAAATAACATAAATATACATAATTTAACTCAATTTAAGTATAACAATTGTAGCCTACATTGCTGAGYGGTGGATGGWGGAGAAAGGAGACGAGATTAGGAACGGGTCACCGTCGTACACACATTACCTGGCCGCGATAAGCAAATGCTTGACATGAACACTAGGTATTGTACATAAATTTCTATAGATTCAAAAATATGTTTTAATTTTTTCAATATTTTAATTATGATTATATCGTTCACTGAAAAAGGTAATATAATATTTTAAATAATTAACTGTGCCATTAAAAATATCTTTATAATATTTGCCTAGGTACCAAAATGTTTCTCAGTGAGGTAGTATATAATCTACTTTTACGCAAAATTGGTTTATGAGAAAATGGATATTAAATTTTGGCATAACTCTTAAACAAATTACCGTAGATATATGAAATTTTTACTGAATGATTATATTTGTATTGTCTATACTTGATAAAATTGTCAAAATATTTCAAATACTTTTAAGTTATTCATAGACATTTGAAATATTATAATAAAAATATACTTTGAAAAGGCTGAGAAGTGCGAGTTTGTAGAAAAATTTACATTATTATAGTTTAGGTACATGACAATCACACTTATGATTTATTGGTATGTACCTACCTAAATAGGTAATAAATATAATCTAACATCGTATTTTTATGTAATGCCTAGCTATTATAATATTATAGTAATAATTATTCTAAATCGAGTAGATATATTAGTACACTACTTACCTCGTAAAAATGTAAGACAAATGCGTAACTCAATTGGCCTGGACCGTGATACACGAAGGACAAACTGCGACAGACAGATTCGACGTCCACAATAACAACTCGACCCCAGACTGCTAAATTCATTGGCCACCTACACCACCACTACCACCACCACCACCATMTATCTACTCTGCCAGTCCTGCCAGATGCAGAAGTGTGTACCTACCGTAAAATAGGGTCTAGGACATCTCGCCGCAACCGTTTCACCGACGGAAATTTAAAATTTCATCTATCATACTATGGTTTTAGCCTTTAACCCCTTTTAAAGCCATTCATTGTATATCTCTTAAATATATGAAATAATTACTATATTTTATAAATACCTAATAATAGAAAACTCAAGAGATCCTTTGGAATCAGAAAATTGTAAAAAATTAGGTCAGATGAAAAAGTGTAAATAAATCTTATACAAAAATGTTTTCCCAAACATTTTCATAGATCATTACTTAATCAAAACATTTAAAACTACACTTCCATATTATAAATTGGTTTTATATGTTTTGATTAATGATTTATGAAAATGTTTGGGAAAACATTTTTATATAAGATTTATTTACACTTTTTCATCTGACCTAATTTTTTTACAATTTTCTGATTCCAAAGGATCTCTTGAGTTTTCTATTATTAGGTATTTATAAAAAATGGTAATTATTTTTAAGAGATATACAATTAATGGCTTTAAAAAGGGGTTAAAGGCTAAAACCATATTTATGATAGATGAAATTTTAAATTTCCGCCGGTGAAACGGTGGCGGCGAGATAGTGGCTGCGAGATGTCCGTCGTCGAAACGGGTGGTGGCCACGGGCGCCAATTTTTTAGGGGCGGCAATTTCTTAACGGTGAAAACGWAAATTTTTAAGTTTTCTAATGTATTTTAATTTTAATTTTAATTATTATTCATTAAAAAATATGCATAACAAGTAATAAATAAAATAGTATCCAATATTATATTGTATATTTTATATTTAAATATTTTTTTTTATATCGCCAACCACGGAATTATCACGTAACATGAGCGTTCAGCGTATTATTAGTACCTAAATTACTAAAATAGAAAKACCATCATATTATTATTATACCATACTCTATGGCTGTATCGGCTTGGACCGATCCATTTCTATTTCCGTTTATATTATCGTATTATTTCGATTATAAATATTGTAAACATAAACGTCTTTGTTTTATACCCGTACGGCTATAATATTATAATATTATCAGATTATAAAATTTTAGTTTCAAATAATTTAATTGTACATTACCAATCAACTGTTATTATTATACTATCGAATATTTGTCATTCAAGTCTCGTATTTGTAAAACGTACTCATAGTTTTGTGAACTGTCAAGTCATATTGACTGAAAATTGAAAAACAAACGTTTCCTATCACCAGTTTTTTATCTTTCAATATGAGTGAAAAACGCCTTAAATTAAGTGGTGCTGAATTTCGCAAGAGAKCAAAGGAAAAAAAATTAAAAAGCAAACTAATTATTTCTCAGACATCTAAAATTCAAAGTTTCTTCAAAAAGGTGAGAACTTATGTATTTAATAATATTATATTGTAGTGTTACCTATAAAAGATCAATGAAAAATATAAAATATGAATAGTCGCGATTAATATTTATGCCAAGAATTTAAAACTAATTTATTATACTTCTGACTACGATTGTATTTTATTACATTATATTTTTCTATTTKATATACCTAAATGGTAGATCAGTATATTATTAACATATTATGCAATAACTTTTGTTAAGTGWTGTAGTAAATTCCAATGWTTTTTTTAAAAATTTATATCTACTATAATAGCTTAATTACTTTAATTATTTAGAATATATTTTTTTAATTATGACATTTATCAAATATTATTGTTTTAATAGTTAGATAATTTGTTACTCTGCAGCATGTAAGTTTTTATTTGATTTTTTTGGATTTGATACGCCGACAAATTTGTTCAATCAAACCTACATACTATCATATACTATTACCTATCGTAAAAATGATTTTAATGTTTTTATTTTACAAAATTTAAATATTTATTTATAAATAATAATATAAATTATTCTGTATTATTTTTAAAAACACATTATTAATTTTAAAATGTATTTACCTATGAATTGTGAAAATTAAATTAGGTACTAAAATATGATCTTATAAAATTTCCAGAAACCCGATTCTGATGAATTAATTGAAAAATCGTTAAAACTCAATTCTGATGAACTTATAGTTGGAAAATTGTTAAAAACCGATGACGAAACTTTAAAATCTGACATTGAAGTCTTTTATAAAACTACTAATGTCCCAATTTGTCCATCACAAGATCCAGCCTTCAGAAATAAATTCTGATATGATTGATTATTTTATTCGTAACCCAGTTGTATCAAATCCTAAAATAATTAATTTTGATAATACTATTCGTAAATGTGGCGAATTTAATAGGAAGTTATCGCATGATGTTTTCAAAAGGAAACTTCTGAATGGTAAAATAAAAGATAGACTATGGTTATACTCAAYATCAAAAAATGCACTATTTTGTTTTTACTGTCTTCTATTTTCTAATAAAAAAACACAGTTTAGTTCAACCGAATTAGGATTTACTCATTGAAAAAAAATGTCTAGAAAATGTTGAACAACATGAAAAGAATTTGACGCATAATGAATCGATTCGCATATGGTTCTCTCTAGACGTAAAATAAYTACAGGTATTGATGTTGAGTTAAAAATAGAACTTGAAAAAAGAGAACTTTACTRGAGAAGTATAATTCACCGTTTAATTGAAACAATTATATTTTTATCAGGCAGAGGTCTTGCATTTCGTGGAGATAATGAGACGTTGGGCTCTAAAAATAATGGCAATCATCTCGGTTGTTTAGAATTAATTGCGAAATTCGATCCACTAATGTCCAAACATCTTGACGCTTATGGTGGTAATAAAGGCCGTGGAAATGTCTCGTATCTGTCCCATACTATTTGCGATGAGTTAATAACACTTATGAATAAATCTGCACTTCGTAAGATTGTAAATGAAATAACGACATCTAAATATTTCTCGTTAATTGTAGATTCCATTCCCGATATTACAAAATTTGACCAATTAACAATTGCCATTAGATACGTTAATTTAGACGGGACTGCAGTAGAACGATTTTTATGTTTT